CTTTATTCTGTCATTACCTGTAATGTGATTAAATATCTATATTAGCAGAGTTACTAATAACATTTTTTTATGCAACCATTTTTTTTCTAAAAGAATACTTGTGTACTACTAATATTGATAAATTCATTATGTTTTTCTCTACATGTGTATGCGTTTCATATGATGTTTATTATTAATTGTGCAAATATATTCAATTTCGTTGGACTCGTTCAGTTTATCACTAATTGTTTACACAATTTATACATGTATCTACACTTTTCGGTGAACTCTCAATTTAATTACCGTTATTACTAATGATGCTATTATTATTATTCTTGTTAAACTTTTTATATACATTAAAGTCTTTTTACTACAAGAGAAACATTTTGTTCTTAAATATGTATACACGTATGATTTTTTTTAAAATAACATTTGTTTACCCTTTTCGTTGTGTAATTTTTTCCTCTCTCCAAAGCATTTAGAGTTTTACGTCGGGCATACTTCCACCGACGCATACCCTAGGGGGGGAGTTATATGATGACATATATTCAGTGATTTTTGTAACAACAAAAATAAAAACCACATTTTTTCTCTAATTTGTCACACTTTATTTGTAACCACGTTTTTATTCAATATCTGTTGTTTTGCTGTATCACTTTTTAAAAAGACGATGATAATTGTTTCGATGAAGGATATACAATTCTACTACCGCGTTGTTTAAAATATAGAACACTATATACGCCGTTTGTTCTTCTGTTTTATTGGCCACCGTTTTGAATGAAGACTATAATAATATTATAACATCATTATAGGCCTTTCGACTCAACGTTGGACTTTTGGCGCGGATTTCTATTGTATAATACTATTGGACTCCGTCTTCCTCATTACGTCATTTGTGCAGTCACTTGCAGAGGAACACCTGTCAATCAAGTGAACTCAGTTTGTGGTCGTTGTTCTCACGAGGCAGTTCACAAGAAACATTCATTCTATAGTAGCTTAATGTCTATTTCTTTAATATACCTTTTCTATTGCTAACAGTATCTTGTTACCTTTGGTTTTACTAACGGACAGATATCTGGGTTTCTTTACTATTAATTCTTTTTGGTATATCACTATTAACCTAGTGTATCAATATATTTTGTGTAAGCTCCTTTTCTTTGGGAACCACCACAGTAAATCCTATTAACTGTTATTTCCTTCATTTTAGAATTTCAATGTTCACACTAGTACTAAACGCTGATCAATTTTATATGAAGTTTCTTGCTATAGTTCATAGTTGCTGTAGGATTTTGAATTACTGGGACGTCGTTTACTACCACGATGCGTAGCGATGACCGTCAGTAGTTTGGTTTGTTACAGTTTGTATTTGCACGTGGAATTTAAAAGCTTTTAATGTTGATTATCAATAAATTAGAGCGTGTAGCTTTAACGAGTAAAAGTATTTGGTTTAAGAACCGAATGTGACCACGTAATCAATAGATTCATAAATGTTCACCTTTCAAACAGACAGTGAACTGTCATCGTATCCAATGGTTGTTGTAAATGTACTATTGAGTGTAGGTAGTTTTGGTGATTAAATGATTACATGCATGCTCAATACAGCCGTAGCCAATTATTTCATAATTCAATACCAGATATTATATTTATGATAATCAGAAGTATTCAAATCAACGTACTAATTAATGATTCCCCAAATGGTGCAATTTAAATCATGTAGAACTAGATGAGCACAAATGAACGTATTATATTTTAGTGGCCAGGCATCTGACTCCAATAAGATCGTTTCTGAGTGCTATTGAGATACACATATAGTTATTCCTCGTATAAAATTATCGACTTAGATCGCGTTAGTGAATAATGGAATTAAATAAGTCGAATACATATATTTTGTTCAATAATTGATCTGAACAGATACTCAGAGAGACGCAGAGAAAAAGAGAGAGCGAAACGACACTCAGTGGAGAAGGCATGTGAGCCAACACCTTTCATTCAAGCGTTAATCAATAATTATAGTCACACAAAAATAAGCTACACATGTGATGAATAGGATGAAAAGTGTACACACACATACGCTGATATGAAAACAGCCAAGGTTGATAAGTGAATAATTGACAATGTCAAAAAGTGACTCAAGTAGAATGAATAGATTAGCCTGTACAAAAGCTAGAATAAGGTATATAGGCTAAACATTTCAACCCAAACTACAATATTTTGGCGAATGATCTTCTTGCACTGTCCAGCTATCAAACGGAGGTTTTCAAAAACAAACTAGATGCAATAATGCCCAGAGACAAAAGTAATTTATGACCAAAAGGGTGGAGAACTGTAAATTGTTTGGACCAAAACTGCTCAGTGGTCTAATGGTTAAGTGCTCGCGCGCGAAGCCAGTAGGTCCTGGGTTCGAGCCCCGCGTGGTGCGGGATCGTGGATGCGCACTGCTGAGGAGTCCCATACCAGGACGAAACGGCCGTCCAGTGCTTCCAGGTTTTCAATGGTGGTATAGCTTCAACCGACTCATGATTTCAATCTGTGAAAAATTTTTAAAAATCTCCACAAACCCCTTCTGAACATAACAATATACACAAAAGATTGTTTTAAGTTGAACTCTTTGTTGATTGGATTTGAAAGGAATTGAACAACCTCATTCGTTCGCTTTTGTTTGCGCATAAATCCCAGTAAATTGTATCTGGATATTGTTATATTGTACCCAATCTCAAAACTACGTTAGTTCACTCTACGCTCATTGGTTACCTCCATCTGTAAACGATTTAAGAAAATGATAAATATACAAATTATTTTTGTGTGATCTTCGCGCGCTGTTTAGAAAGGATAGTGGTATTTTTCCTCACTGAGTAAATTCTATTGTTTTGATCGTTTATTACGTAACAAAACCACTGTTTACACTTTAATTGAATTTATTTCACTTAAAGTATCCGCTTAGAGTATCGTTTCTGATTCCAAAGTAGTTTATCGTCGATACTTCTGAGTACTTTGTTTCTGTTGTATTTGTTAGCAGTTTTGGTCCAAACAATTTACAGTTCTCCACCCTTTTGGTCATAAATTACTTTTGTCTCTGGGCATTATTGCATCTAGTTTGTTTTTGAAAACCTCCGTTTGACCACTTCTGATAATAATCATCTGCTCACTAGTGACTGACTTCAAGAGATACTCCTGGAGTTCTAGTGGGAAGCCGTTACCAGTGGAGTACAACCAGGTCTGTTGTGGGATATCAGCTCACTGAAGACAATGGTATATGGTGGCGCAACTTCGTGGATTGGTTGAAGTTAGACATTAACACCGTTGGATACCGGCTCAGTGGTATATTGTTATGTACCAAACAAACTGTCAATCATATTAACATAAAATTCGTTTATTTGCCTTTATACTCACGGACACAAATCCTAACATATCTAAATCATGTTGGATTATTGCGCTTTAAATATAACGTGATCGCAGTTCATTACACCATCATGATTTTATTTGGATGTAAAAGATGATTATTCAAGCTTGAATATCTTGAAATGAAAGGCCTACGAGAATCTAACATTCTCGATATAGAAAAAGACGGTCAGTAACAGAAAGAAGTATATTTCTGTGTGAGCACAAGACATGAACACGCGTTTCGAGTTTAAGATTGGATAAGTCTAGACAAAGTAATCATCTATTGATCATATATCAAAAATAACTTGATGACTAGACACTTAAATCCAGGTAAACATGAAATTGTACAGATTCCCTGAAGATCCAAATGAATTTCTGTAAATCGCAATCAATGCAATTTAATATGGTAGACTTGAAGAAAGTTGTTTAAACTGATAGTATTGCATAGTTTAGTAAAGTCTACCTTAGATGACTCGACAGAATATGAGAAAGATTGAATTACAGGCTATTTATTGAAAATAAAAATTTAAAACTCATAGAAACCCACAATCTGTATGACTAGTATGGTAAGCGAATAAAAGTTGGGAACCCCAATGAGCGAAAAGCATTCCGCACTATAACCTTTTAAAATCCAGATGATTAAATGCACATTATATCTTCAGTTGACATACCACATTATTCTACAAGGTGAGTTGAATTAGATTGAGGTTTTAACACTAAAAAGTACCATAGAGTTAAATAAAGATAACCAAAACAACAAACCTAATTAGAATACACATTAAAAAATTAAAACGTTGAATTTGATTTGACCATTCTCAAGACACATAAATTCAACTAATAGTGAATCCAAGTGAATAAATCACCGGTTATAATATAAGGCAAAATTAACTGTAGATAAGTTGTTATTAGGAAAATCCAAGTGACATAACTTCCCATATAAATAAAAAGGGATAAATATCCATACATTCCATACAAATTTCAAAATGACAAAAATTAATAGGCCGTTAGTACGAGTCACAACCAGAAGCAAGATGTGAGTTGTCTCGAAAGTTAATGAGATTGATGTTAATATAGGTTGAAAATCGAAAAACAATCCTGCTTGATTACATAAGCTATCATACAATAAACCCATTTAGGATCTTTGGCCTGGATTTTATAGATCGTGACAACGTATTCGCGTTTATTAATGAGGCCCATTTCTAAATTCGTATTACGCTTCAGTAATTATTGGTTTATTACAATTGGGGAGAAGTGGTACTTACGAATAGTCCTAGTGAGAAGTCTACTCAAAGAGCAATAATAATATTTAGTCGTGAAGTGATACCCTACACACTCATCAACCGTCTTCTATTTCTCCACGTCCACGCTCCATTCACAACATTAACAAGCATGCAGTCACGAAAATCCCAATGAAAAATCAATTTCACAGAATCTGAACGCAGGAACAACATATAAATCAAAACCAAACTATCGTCCCACCAACCGCACACCAGAAAGTAAACGTTCAACAAGTCAACTGAATACGCTGATCACGAAATAAATAACATGGGATCGAATGCAATTCAAAAATATTTATTCAGAAAAATCACATCAATATTTTAACATTAATCAACGATTAATTTAGTAAAACATATTCTCTTCTAGTGAGTAATTGCATGTTGCTTCTCCAATGGCGCCTCCAATACCAATGTATTGCCAACTACCTGAGCAGAAACAGATAACGGATCAACTGTCTCGGGAATCGCATACGACTGACTGAACTCTGCAAATGAACTTGACTTTCCATATTGACCACTCTTCTGCTTATGATGACGTCCACTAACCACAACACGATTCGAATCAACATTCACACACAAGTCTTCAGGCTTGTACACTGGGTCCACTGGAACCTCAACATGCAGTCGCTTGCCACCTGAACCATCATCCACATACGATAGACCATGAACACCTGAAATGGATAGGGAAAAATACAATGTTAGGAAAATGCAACACACACAAACGAGAATAACACACCCACCAGATCAATCACAACTCCTCTCACCTTTTGCAACAAGTGCTTGAGACGCAGGAACTGCCTTATTCTGATTGTCCGATTTCGGTCGAACACCCACCTGACCAGACTCGTTCAGCGTCAACGACTGGTTCTGATCAACCTTCACTGGAGCCTCCAACATCAAAACACCATCCTGAAACGGATAGACAAACAAACGCACAAAACAAGATGAAACGAGACTTCCAACTATTCTAACATGATTCGGAATGCAAACAACTGGAAATACAACACACACAAAACCACCACCACCACCACCACCACCAACCACAGTCGTCAACTCAACAACTTACATCTGTCATGCGACATTTCAGTTGACTATCATCAATACTCTTCGGCAGCTGCACCATACGACAGAACTCCCGACTACACTTCCCACCATCGGTCGTCGTCTCCTTCTTCGCGTGTACCGTCACACGGTTCTCACTCGACGTCACATTGATGTCCTGAGGAGCGAAACCTTGTGCGTCGAATCGTACCTTGAAATGTACCTACGCAATAAACAACAACCATAATAACACTCGTCAATCAACGGCCATGTTCAAACCAACTGCACAAAACAATAAACACAACCTACCTGCTCGTCAGCACGGACTCACCTTGCCATCCTCACCTATTTCGTAGGCGTCCTTCAAAAAGTCACTCACTGAACCGGTCGACGGAACATCCATTGAGCCCATTCTCTCTCGGATATCCTGGATATGACGATCCATTTGGTGCATTAAAGCGAATGGATTCTCCCAAATACCGTGGGTGAAGTTGTCCAACGGCTGAAATTCAAAGAACATACCGAGCTCATCAAATCTCTCCTCGAATTTTATGCGAAATCTGTCCACACAATGCATTATTGCACTCCTAACATACACAAATGATAAACATTATCTCAAGAAATCATATGCATTAATGGTCACCTGAATACTGAATAGCAAAACTCACTAATAGCGCGAACATTCCACGTCTCAAACGTCGCATGTCTTCATCCCATCTCCTCCACGAGGAGTTGATCCAGCTGTCCACAGTACTCGGCCAGTCTTCCGTGTACGGTGCGATTAGGTTGCCACGATGAGTACCACCTCCGTGTTCCAGGCCAGTTAACAGGTCACGTCTCTGCCTCTCAAATGACCGTTGCTCACGATTCACAGGAATACTAACTGCTTGATGATGTTGCCCACCAGACATATTCAACACGATAACAGAAATAGAACAACAATATGCGTTGAATGCTCGACTGTTTAACTTACTTATATAGTGGTGGGTGAGAGAAATTATTCAATGACCTCTAAACGGGTAACAACCAATCAGAACGCTAATATTTCTACGATGTAATTAAGTCCAAATCTGATTGGTCATTGAAGGACATTTTCTCGAAAGTTCTAGATTTCTCTCGCCCTGTCTAGTCTACGTTCACATATGTTCGCTCTGTGTCAACACATATTACGCCCTGTTCACCAGAACTCTCTAGAAAACACTACCAAATTCTAGTGAAATCCTGGTGCTTCCATACTAATACTATTCACTACAAGTCACAACTGACCATTAGTGACGTCGTACTTGATAATTTTACTTCTATACACAATCATGGTTACTTGGCAAGGACATCAAAAGCACAGTCAACAGACTGTTTGTGTGTTCGGCTCATTTTCTTATTAGTTGAAAGCAGGTAACTTAGGTTGTTTGGTGAAAACTGAACTACAAGCTGTGATTTTCGTGTAAAGCAATCGAAATTTTCAAAATTTCATGATACGTGCTGCATGTATTCAGACGCGAATACATCCCAAACTGTACTTTACTGAGAGTATTTCTGAAATATTCCTTTCACCAGTTTGTTTACTTATCACATAAATAATCTGAAATCCGCAACTTGATTGTTGGGGTCAACGTCTTCTCTAATCGATAACGTTTGCTGTTTAAATTTGTGATACTCGATACATTTATTGGTTCTTAAAAAGCTTTCGTACTTCGATTTATGCTTGTTTTCTAAATCCCTTTGGTTCTATGCACTGATGGGTTTTCAACATTAGTACACTTCTGAACGGCTTCGCAATATAAAGTATTTTTAACCAAAATTATTTGGAAACTTTACTAATTGTTGTGAAGTAATATTGCTGTAATCCATGTCCAACATTGCTTAGAAATTCGAAATTTTTGTGGCCATACTCCCATGTACGTGTTGTACTGCATCCGACTTACATAACTACAGGATAAGCTTGAGGTTGAACAGAAATTATAATTTCAATAAACCAAAGACACTGGATAATAGTGTTCTATAAATTTCAAATATTTGAATATTGGTAAGTGTTAATTTTGTTTTACATTGTTCCTGCTCATTCCTTTCCTACTCTTTTGTATGTTGGTTTATACTACTTATTCATATTCAGTAAGCAGTTGTATGCCCAACAATTTTCACAATCATGTTGTAATTCAGGTTGTACTGTAACATTCTGAAATGTTCATATATATCTTTAACGTTTATTTTACTTATCTTTGTATTTATTATTATAATCACTGTAATTTAATTGCTGTAAGGGTTATCCACAGTTTTATGCATTTGTTTAAACGCAACAGTTTCCATATTGTTTGCTCTTGGTTCGAGTTTCGGTTGTTCATAAACTGTTATCAAATTTAGACACAGCTATCGGCTGTCTTTGGACTATCGTATGTTGTAATCATTCTTTATGTTACTCTTACAGGAAGCCTTTGCTATTTTCATTCTTGAACGACGCGTTTAAACGCCTAGACACTTCACAAGTTGAGGTTTGTAACTAAATTTTGCGTATTATTTAATAAAGAACCGCTTTTGTAGACAAATAACTCCGCCTGGAGTCCCTCCGGGGGCTACTGCCGGTCCCAAGCCCGGATAAAGGAGGAGGGTTGGGCATGAGGTTAGCGTCTCCATCCCGTAGAAAACTAACTCGCTAAAAAACGCTAACCAGAAAAAATTATTCAAACCTTTTAAACTCTGCCCTGGGAGTCAGAAGGTCTTCACTTAGAAGAATTATGACGCCTCATGATGAAAGCCGAATTCCTTCGGAAGTTACGAGGCCGATGCCCCTTCTGACAACCAGAGCAACCATTTATTTAGGTACATGGAATGTTCGTACAATGTGGGACACCGGAAGAGCCTTCCAGATTGCTACAGAAATGAGAAGATACAACCTAGAGGTACTTGGGATCAGTGAAACACATTGGAAACAAGTTGGACAACAACGACTAACTACAGGAGAGCTCCTTTTATACTCCGGCCATGAAGAAGAAAATGCACCACAATCACAAGGAGTTGCATTGATGCTGTCCAAACAAGCGCAAAATGCGCTTATAAGATGGGAATCTCATGGACCAAGGATCATCAAAGCCTCCTTCAAAACAAAGAAAGAGGGCATTTCAATGAACATCATCCAATGCTATGCGCCTACCAACGACTACAATGAAGACGCTAAAGATCAATTCTACAATAGGCTGCAGTCGATCGTCGAGAAGTGCCCAACAAAGGACCTGACCATTCTGATGGGAGATTTCAACGCCAAGGTTGGAACGGACAACACTGGATATGAAGACATCATGGGACGACACGGACTAGGAGAAAGAAACGAAAATGGTGAGAGATTTGCAAATCTATGTGCCTTCAATAAGCTGGTCATAGGCGGCACCGTATTCCCACATAAACGCATACACAAAACCACATGGACTTCACCGGATCACTCTTACACAAAACCAAATCGACCATATTTGCATCAACAAAACGTTCAGGAGGACTATAGAGGACGTGAGAACCAAGAGAGGAGCTGATATAGCATCAGATCATCACTTACTGGTCGCCAAGATGAAATTGAAACTCAAGAAGCACTGGACAACGGGGCGGACAATATCACAAAAGTTCAATACGGCCTTTCTTCAGGATACTAACAAACTCAACAAATTCAAGATAGTCCTCAGCAACAAGTTCCAGGCAATTCATGATCTACTCAATGGAGAAGGAACTACTATGGAGAGCAACTGGAAGGGGATCAAAGAGGCAATCACTTCAACATGCCATGAGGTCCTGGGTCACAAGAAGCACCATCACAAGGAATGGATCACTGTCGATACACTGGATAAGATTCAAGAAAGAAGGAATAAGAAGGCAGCAATCAATACCAGCCAAACAAGAGCAGAAAAAGCCAAGACACAAGCTGAATACACAGAAGTAAACGAGCAAGTGAAGAGGAGCATCAGAACCGACAAACGTAAATATGTGGAAGATTTAGCAACGACGGCGGAAAAGGCTGCAAGAGAAGGAAACATGAGACAATTGTATGACACGACAAAGAAACTCTCTGGAAATCGCCACAAACCAGAACGACCAGTGAAAAGCAACGCAGGCAAGGTAATCACCAACATTGAAGAGCAACAAAACAGGTGGGTAGAACACTTCAAAGAACTGTTGGATCGACCAGCTCCACTGAACCCACCCAACATCGAAGCAGCACCCACGGACCTCCCAATCAATGTTGGCCCACCAACAATTGAAGAAATCAGCATGGCCATCAGACAAATCAAGAGTGGCAAAGCAGCAGGACCGGACAACATCCCAGCTGAGGCACTAAAAGCAGACGTAGCAGTAACTGCAAGGATACTCCACCTTCTCTTCAATAAGATTTGGGATGAGGAACAAGTACCAGAAGACTGGAAGGAAGGACTTCTGATCAAAATACCGAAGAAAGGCGATCTCAGCAAGTGTGATAACTACAGGGGCATCACTCGTATACAGACCAAATCGCAACTCTACAGATCATTGTGGAACAATCAATTGAGTGGAATTCATCACTCTACATCAACTTCATCGACTACGAAAAGGCATTTGATAGCGTGGACAGAACAACACTATGGAAACTTCTTCGACACTACGGCGTGCCTCAGAAGATAGTCAATATCATACGGAATTCCTATGATGGATTAAACTGCAAAATTGTGCATGGAGGACAGTTGACAAAGTCGTTCGAATTAAAGACTGGTGTCAGACAAGGTTGCTTACTCTCACCCTTTCTCTTTCTCCTGGTGATCGACTGGATCATGAAGACGTCAACGTCTGAAGGGAAGCGCGGGATACAATGGACATCTAAGATGCAGTTGGATGATCTAGACTTCGCAGACGATCTGGCTCGTCTATCCCAAACGCAACAGCAGATGCAGGAGAAGACAAACAGTGTGGCAGCAGCCTCAGCAGCAGTAGGTCTCAACATACACAAAGAGAAAAGCAGGATTCTCCGATACAAGACAGCATGCACCAATCCAATCACAATTGACGGAGAAGATTTGGAAGATGTTAAAACCTTTACATATCTGGGCAGCATCATTGATGAACAGGGTGGATCTGATGCAGATGTGAAGGCGCGGATCGGCAAAGCAAGAGCAGCATATTTACAACTGAGGAACATCTGGAACTCAAAGCAACTGTCAACCAACATCAAGGTCAGGATTTTCAATACAAATGTCAAGACAGTTCTACTGTATGGGGCAGAAACCTGGAGAACTACGAAAGCCATCATCCAGAAGATACAGGTGTTTATTAACAATTGTTTACGCAAAATACTTCAGATCCATTGGCCGGACACTATTAGCAACAACGTACTGTGGGAGAGAACAAACCAGATCCCAGTGGAGGAAGAAATCAGGAAGAAGCGCTGGGAGTGGATAGGACACACATTGAGGAAGGCACCCAACTGCGTCACAAGACAAGCCCTCACATGGAATCCTCAAGGCCAAAGGAGAAGAGGAAGACCAAAGAACACATTACGCCGAGAATTGGAGATAGACATGAGAAAAATGAACAAGAATTGGATGGAACTAGAAAAGAAGGCAGAGTGGGACAGAGTGGGTTGGAGAATGCTGGTCAGCGGCCTATGCTCCATTAGGAGTAACAGGCGTAAGTAAGTAAGTAAGTATGTTTGTAGACAAATCGTTGTTTTGGAACT